CTATTTGTTTTGAGGTCAAAATCCTTGAAGATGCAGGAATTTGGCTTCACAACCTGAGATAAAAACAAGTCACACTGTCCAATTAAGCAATCACATTCTTCTACTTTGAGACATTTCAAATTGAAAATGGTGGACAATACATGCTGAAAATGAGCCTTACTATCCATTGCATTTGAGACCATTTTTAGAGGAGAAAACAGGGGACATTATGAGTAAATGAGTATTTCAACGGACACTTCACTAGCAATTCCTCAATTAAACATATCCAAATAGACAAACACTCATTGCAAAATGTAAAATTGTCTCTTGGAGTTGCCTTCTTTGTGGTCATCAATACTTTCATATTTTCTGTTACACAAAATCTGTTATCCATATATATAGCCAATTTGATATTTTCCATATTGCTTAAGTCAATTTTCAACAATTTAAATGCAATTTCTGCTTTGGATAGCACATCATGTTTTATAACTCTCCTTAGTAGGTTTCTGATCATAGACTCAAGATCACAGCTAACAAAAGGCCGTACAGGGTGGTCAGTCTGATATTTTATTAGAAATGGAGAGAGTTCTTCAGATACTGAAACATCTTAAGCCATTTTTTACATCTGAAAAAAGAGCTTAATTTTAGTCATCGTTTGCAAATAGGAATGGACAGTCCAAATGTTAACTGATTGCTCCATGAGAAATTAGAACCAGTTAAAAACTATGAATTTGGACTCATCAACATCGGGTCTTGGTCTCTACACAATCCATGTGGCTCTTTGTACTGCTTTCAGTGCCTCTGATATTTAGAAGCAATACATAAATCAATGTACCACTTTTTCAAAGATTCTCCAGCCAAACAGGAAGACTTTGAGAAAATTACTGGGTCTCATACATATGCACAGAAGTTTTGTTCTATCCAATGGGTAGAGAATGCACCTGTTGCACAAAGGGCAATTGAAATTATTCTGAATTTCCAGACATACATCAAAACAGTTGAAGCCAAACTAAACTCTTACACAGTACCAAAAAGTCAAGCTTTTTAATACTGTGAAATCCGTGTGGCTGAGAAATGCAAATTCCAGAAATCTAGTCATCAAAATATTTTTTTCTAAGTCAAAGTACTGAAGATACACATTAAGTTGGTCCTTTTGGTTTACCATTTAAGGATTCATTGTACAATAGCACAAATCTGTACCTTTTCGAAGCTTTTGATACAAATTTAATTTGGTATATGGGGGCCAATACAGAATAAGCCACATGTGCACATTTTTTCTCTCCACAAGAGAAGTTAGATGTGATTTTGCTATCTGGGAACATCTTTTTAAACAGTTCATTTATGTTTCTATAGCTTTTGTAACTGTACTGGCTAACAATGGTCTTCAGGACCCACAAAACTTCATCTTTTTTACTCATCTTCTTTTGAAACATTGAATCCTGTCTGCCCTGTGATGAATAAATTGCATAATGAGGTGCTGACACCTTGATGAAAGGAATAGAATCATCCAAAGGCTAATTGTAAAATAATGCAACTTTATTAAATTGTATTTTGCATATAAATCAATAAAATTTGCCCCATTCTCTTTGATATTAAATTTAACTTAGGAATATTATTCACTTAATTGCTGGACTATGGTGTCATGTTTATTTGTTGCAACAGTAGGCCTAACTGTTGATGTTCTATCTGGAGTCGGCCTAGATTCAGATGATATCGTATCAAACTGTGTATAGTGGCATGACTGCTGTTGACGAGTGCCCTTTATGCACCTTCGCCTTGTTCTTTTTTCCCTTTATATGGCTTATCACCTCAAATTCGCCCATATTGCTAACATTAAACTTTTTATGGCACATACTGCAATAAGCTTCTTGGGGATGTGCACCTGTAACAAGCTATTCCTTGTACTCATCCTTCAGAAGCCATGCATTGTTAAATATACATTTGCTTGGCATGTTTTACACAAGTACACATTCAATTCAATACCACAGAACACAAAAAAAAATGATGGAAAAAATGGATGAATCATGATTGCGTAATTACTTGAATAGTGAGGCTCAGATATCAACAGCCTCATTCAACTTTGTAACAATGAAATAATTCAAGTTGCTATTTAAGTATGTGCAGTACATTCTTTTCACTAAAGAAAAACATGAAGGGCTTGCTCGGAATATTGTCACCATTGGATATTATACAATGTAATCATTAAATAAACAAATTATAGAAATAATTGGTTTATAATACTGACAAGAGAACATTTTCATTTTCTATGACTTTTACAAAACCTTGGGGTAAATTATCATTTTTCCAAAACTTTCCAGGCCTTGGAAAATGCTTCCACAATTTTCTTAGACTTTCCAAAAACCTGTACAAACTCTGGGTGAGAATTTACAAACCCAAAAGCCAATGGCAAAATCCATCCACATGCCCCAGGCAAACAGTACACGACATAATCAAGAAGGCACTGGAAAAATGATGTGTAGCACACCTCAAACAGCTGGAGAATAAAATAGGTATTGATGCTATTCTGTATGAAGAAATACTGTTCTAAACCACCAGATATAGAACCTACATATTTCTGAGCAATCAGACTTTTGAAATGGGCAATACTAAACTCTTGTCCTCAAACTCTAGATGGTGTCTGGAAAGCTTCAGGGAGTACTGATGTGCTTTTTACATGGCAGTCTTATGATAGAGTCTTTAGCAATGAAAACTATGTAGTAGGGCTATTGTCAGGTTGCATGTCCATCAGAGAGAGCATAAGAGGACAGAGCAAAATAGATTGTAGCATGATGGTGAGGCTCAAAAATAATCTTAATATAATGTACTTAATCTTTGTATAGAATCACATACGTTTTTGTAGATTATACATGAGTTTACAAAAGATTGAGAAGCCAGCATTGTTTTGAAACATTTATTGACAAAAAACATAAAAAGAATTTCACACTGGAATTTTCACAACTGTTTTCTTGGCAGAAATACTATTACTATAGGTTTTATTACAGCAATACACAAACCTACCTCTTCCTTTTGTTTGATATTTTGATATAGCCACTATCCCATTAATATTTGTGAACCTATGAGAAAAATAGATAACACAAAGTTTCACAATGCTGTTTGTAAAAGTTTTTGAACTTAATAACTTGATACTATATAAACATTTTTGTTAATTCCTTTCACATAAGAAATAAATTATAAAAACCGAAAAATTTAGTAAAGTACTGGTGCCACTCAAAGAGTATTAATGATAACTCTGAGTTCATATAAATAAGTTCAACAAGCATACATGTACATGTCAAATTATTTTACATTATTTACATATCTGTAATGAAATAAACACAAGTTGTATGTTCATCTTATAAAATCAATTACGAGCTAGAATCCTAACATCTTTTATCATGTTCATTTGCTTGGTCATTACATTCAAATAACTTTACTTTCTATAACTGTTCAGAAATCTTTAGGGGTTTTTGAGTCCTTCTTAATTCATCATACAGTAACGTAACATAATTTAGATATGTGAATAATGTTATGACATTTCACCTAATTCATAACATTATTCACATATATAAATTACGTTAGGATACTGTATGGTGAATAAATAAAGACTCATAACCCCACAGATATTATATACACATCCCCATTATAAGAGACCTAACTGTATTTCTTTGGTTTGCTGACCCAAGCTGTGCAGATGAGCCTTGAATAGGCAAAACTACAGTCCATAGCACAGGGTGTGGCCAATGAAGGAATGCATTAGGCCTCTACATCGCAGATTCTCATTTCAATCTGTAACATATGTACATGTTCAGAAATCTGTTCAGAAAGTATTTTTTTTTCTATACTGTGTTACTCATGCATATATAATTTGTAGCAACATTTCTAACTAGCATGAAGTAAGTATGAACCATCATCTTTGTTTAGATGTATATCAATTTCATTAACAAAAATGATCAACATACCTTTCCAACAAAGTCATTGTTGTAGAGACAACATCAAAATATATAATAATTTGACCTAAAACCTTGGTTTGTAGATATGATCTATATCTTTCAAGATTAAAGCTCAATTCAGCTGTATTGTCATTAATTTTACAACAGACAGGAATTTTGTCAGCCAACAATGCAGGAGTCCAGTAATCAGGTAGGCTATCCACAAAATGTAGAGTAAAACCACTACATGGAATCTTTCCTTGGGGAAATTTCTTTATGGAAAGAAGAAATTCCTGAAGCTTTTCCTAGAATATAACAACCCATGCCATAAGTTTAAGTTGCTCTGGTGAATTTGAAATAGAAAAACTCCTTTTTAAGAACTAATTTAAATGTGATCTAAAAAAATATGAAGAGAATCTACAGATCTCTTTTAAAATAAAAAAAATTGTCATCAAACACTTTTTTATAATAGTTGCTCCTAAAAATGCTGTAGCAAAGTTAGTCAGATATTCAACTGTATTCAGATATAGTTATTCTAATATCATCAGATTGTACACAAAGTTTTGCTCACATGTGAAGTTGCTAACAGAATACCAGATGTGAGACTTCTCTGAGATCCAGGCCCACATAACATGTCTAAATATGAGGAGAGAAGAAGTTGGAGAATCTCTAATCTTTCTTTGTTATATTGTTTCAGTTGTTTAAATTCTTCTTCTCCCGAGGACAATAACAATGCATCTAGCTCCAGGTGTACCTAAATAGCACAAACTGAGGAATTATTGATATTCAAACACTTCAAAAAATATAATACACCACTCAATCAAATTGAAGTTAACAGACTTTGTTACAGAAGTCTTGTTAGATTGTTTTACATAATTCAATTAAACTACAGAAAAATGAAAGAGATATTCAGTTCTTACTATATCCAAGTAACATAATTTAAAACCCTCTCTAATGTCTCAGCATATTATCTCAAAGAAGAGACCTGCCATGTATAGCACAGTATAAAATACTTTCAGCATATGACCTACCTCTGCACCACACCACAGACATTTTTTATTTAATCTAAACATACAACTCATATTAAATTACACTTTCTTTTGTATTTAAATGAACTGAATACTACATTACTGCTTGACATTCTCCAATATTTAATGATTATTATACAAATTGTCTTACATAACTAATTTTCTTTTGGAATTTCCTTATACAATGCACTGCAGTTTTGAGTAGGATTGTAGTTTACAATAAAAATTATATACATAATCATAAAATATCACGGGTTTAAAGGTAAGATTTAAACTAGCTAGACAATGATTAATCATGGAATTAATGCTTTCACAGACAAAAAATAGTGTATAAATCACTCAAAACAGGTGCAAAGGGTATTCTGAGAATAGCAGAAAAATCTGACTCGCACACCATAGTGTAGGTGAAATGGTGAACAGATTCTAACTAACTTTAAAGTTTGAACTATCATATAACTTACAAAGTATTTCAATACATGCATATTCTCCCAAGGATGTAGTAACTCAATATTTGCTATCATTAATTATACTAATTAAAACTTCCTGACTTGTGACTTACATTTATAAAACCTACTGAATTGACTTCTAGGAGACTAAATTTTCTAAAACCTAATAAATTGGTTGTTAATGGAGGTCCTTGATTTTTAGACACCATTTATTAAACTCAATGTGGTGATTCATGGGGGTACTCAACTTCTAGTCTAAAATAATTAAAACCTAATGAACTGGTTCCAAGGGATCTTTGACTTATGTTCTCATTTTACTAAAAACTGGTGAACTAATTTCTCGGAATCCTTGACTTGTGGCTTACATTTATTAAAGCTGACTGAAATGGTTACTAGGGGCCAGGGCTGTATTAACCATGGCACAGTTGCGCTAGGGCTCTAAGCAATGAGGGGCCCCTATTGACGATACAAATCATTAGTTTAACTCTCTCTTTTTTTTTATAAATCTTCATATTTTATCTGTTATTTGTTCTATTCTTACTCAATACATACTAGATCAATTTGTCCAACCTCATAATCATCATACAAAATAAATCTAAATTACCATTTCTTCTTTCTAGAATTACTTCAAATTGTAAAAGGAAACAACATTTCTTTACACTAAATAGTTTAAAACTTCTTAACCTTATACAGCTGTTTATAATTAGATTTTATTGTTTTGTTGCGTCAGCGAGGTCACGTGACTAGTGTCACGCCAC